TCAGTTGGTTTCCTTCGTTTCGATATACACTGCTGCCATCACTGAAGATAAATTTTAAGGCACTCTTAAGTTTTTCTTTCCCGTTTTTCTGCAGTGCATAACCTACGAAGTCACTCTTTGGGAAATGGCAAAACTAAAGTGAGTTGTCCTCCCTCGCCTCTCAAAAAATTGTATTCTCTGTTTTTTATAATTTTGCTACAGTTATAGCTGGGTACTGTTTGTTCAGAATATGCTTAAAAAATCTCAAAGATAAGATTGCTTAAATATGCTTTAAAATCTCGAAGATAAAAATCTCAAGGATTTTAATAATAATGTGTGTTGTGTGTTGTGTTGTGTGTTGTGATGATATAGTCCACTTTTTTTTTTTTGAGACGAGTCTCAGCTCTGGTCACCCAGGCTAGAGTGAGTCCGTGGCGGTCAGCCTCGCTCACAGCAACGCCTCCAACTCCTGGGCTCTACCATACTCCTGGCTTCAGCCTCCTCCGTTAGCTGGGAGAGCACATCTCCAAGCTCATTTTTTCTATATATTTTTAAGTTGGCCATTACTTTCTTTCGTATTTTTAGTAGAGACGGGGGTCTCGCTCTTGCTCAGGCTGGTTCCGAACTCCCTGACCCCTCAAGCGCATCCTCCCGCCTCGCCTCCCAGAGTGCTAGGGTTACAGGCATGAGCCCACCACTCCCGCCTATATTCCACTGTTTAAACCAACCACAGAAAAGACTAGGTATTGATACAGGGAGAAGTATTTTGTTATTGTCTGTTTCTTTCAGATATAGTTGGAAACTGCTGATATATGTTAGAAAGAATATGGAACTTAGAACCAAGGTCTAGTTCTACTTTCTCTATCAGAATAACATTGGCTGTGAACAAGGCATGACCTCCGTGGGACCTCATCTGAAATTGGGATTAATAATCTCCACATGGGGCGGTACCCTGCACAGTATATCTGGCATAAAATAGGTAGATAGTAAATAATTATCAGGGTTTTTTCCTTTTTAAAGAAAAAGATTAGTGAGTAATATCATGGGAGCTAAAGGAGAATAAACAGAAACAAAGGAGGGAAAATTAACTTTGCCAATCAGCCTTAGAGATTTATTGAAGGTTTCGGCGCAATGAGATTGTAGGTAGACTGTATTTAGGCAAGACCATGTTATAATAGGATGCGGTGTGAAATCCAGGTGAAATCTGGAAATTTTCTATAAAAAAAGAAAAAAATGTGCCAAAAAGGAATTTTTAAACGAAGATGGAATGAGTGGAGTCTTTTGAAAAAGCCGATATCACATTTTCAATCCCTCGCAACTCTTAATATAAAAAAATAGTTTGGAAATGCATTTTGGTTCTTTTCCTTAAATTACACCAGTTATGTAGAAACACTTTTACCATTTCTATTGTTCGAAGACAAAACAAAAATAATATAAGTCTCATAGTATATTATAGTATTTGGTGATGACAAGATGAAATTGTTTTAAAGAATTCTTGATTTTTTTGTTATAAAAGAAATATATATTTATAAAGGGAAATATAAAAAACATTAAAAAATAAATCCACCACATCTCCACTTATACACATATAGACAGTTAGCTTCACCATGCAAGCTTCTGCTAATATTCTATCTTTTCATCCATTCTTTTTGTACATTGCCCAGTAAAATAAAAACTATTAGGCCAAATTAGATAGCAGTAACAGGAACCCGCTTAGAAGAAGGGATCTCTTAGAAGTGTGATGTGCTGCCTTTTCAAAGTTACTGATGTAGGCCGGGCGCGGTGGCTCACGCCTGTCATCCTAGCACTCTGGGAGGCTGAGGCGGGAGGATCGCTCAAGGTCAGGAGTTCGAGACCAGCCTGAGCAAGAGCGAGACCCCGTCTCTACTAAAAATAGAAAGAAATTAATTGGCCAACTAAAAATATATAGAAAAAATAGGCCGGGCGCGGTGGCTCACGCCTGTCATCCTAGCACTCTGGGAGGCTGAGGCGGGAGGATCGCTCAAGGTCAGGAGTTCGAGACCAGCCTGAGCAAGAGCGAGACCCCGTCTCTACTAAAAATAGAAAGAAATTAATTGGCCAACTAAAAATATATAGAAAAAATTAGCCGGGCGTGGTGGCGCATGCCTGTAGTCCCAGCTACTCGGGAGGAGGCCGAGGTGGGAGGATTGCTTGAGCTCAGGAGTTCGAGACCAGCCTGAGCAAGAGCGAGACCCCCGTCTCTACTATAAATAGAAAGAAATTAATTGGCCAACTACAAATATATAGAAAACATTAGCCTGGCGTGGTGGCGCATGCCTGTAGTCCCAGCTACTCGGGAGGAGGCTGAGGCAGGAGGATCGCTTGAGCCCAGGAGTCTGAGGTTGCTGTGAGCGAGGCTGAGACCACGGCACTCACTCTAGCCCGGGCGACAGAGTGAGACTCTGTCTCAAAAAAAAAAAAACCCTAAGCGCAGCCCTGGGCACTGGAGGCACCGTGAGGGAGCAGGGGCGGGCGGGGGCGAAGACGGAGCCAGGTGTGGCCTCACCTGTGGGCAGGAGCTAACGCGGTGCTTCCCGGCAGGTGCGAGACTCGGCGCAGTCCTTCCTGACGGTGCATGTCCCCCTGTACGTGTCCTACGTGTACGTCACGGCCCCCCGGGGCTGGGCCTCGCTGGAGCACCACACGGAGATGGAGTTCTCGTCTACGCAGTTCTTCATCACGGACACCTGTTGCTCTGCTAGGGACAAGGTAACCTGTGGCAGCTGCTCCGGGAACCTCCCCCAGACCTGCGCTGGGCGCTCCAGCTCACCTGGACGCTCAGGGGGCGCCGGCGGACAGAGCGAGACTCTGTTCAAAAAAAAACAAAAGACCAGGGCCGGCGCCGCATGCTCACAACTTCATCCCAGCACTCTGGGAGGCTGAGGAGGAGGAGATCGCTACGAGGTCAGGGTTCGAACCAACTGAGAAGAGAGGAGACCCATCTCTGACTGTAATAGAAGAAATTAATTGGCCAACTTAATACGTAGAGAAAAGGCGCGCCCTGAGCCGGCGCGTGGGTGGCTCCCGACGCCTGTTCATCTTGGCAACTCTGGGAGGCATGAGAGCGGGAGGATCGCTCGAGGTCGAGGAGTTCGAACCCAGCACCCTGAGCAAGAGCGCAGACCACCGTCTACACTATAATAAGAATAAAATTATGGCCAACTTAGCGCCTCTATAATAGAAAAAAGACCGGACGTGGGTGGCCGCCGATGCATGTAAGTCCCAGATACTCGGGAGGAGGCTCAGGCACGGAGGGGATCACTTGGAGCCCAGGAGGGTTGGATTGCTCGCTCGGAG